TTTTTATTTTTTTTTTTTTTTTTTTTTTTTTTTTTTTTTTTTTTTTTTTAATTCTAGTAATTTTCTTGTCTTCACAATTATACTAGAAGTCTAAATCCCTCTAGCTAAATTATAGCTTTCTTTTAGAGGAGGAGACTGGCCACACAAGCTGGAAACACACTCCTCTCTGAAGCCAGAATGCGAAGGGACAGAGCTGGAGTAGCAACCCTGGACTAATGAGAAGATTATCTTTACCTTGCTCCCACAATGAGCTGGTTCCTGTTGGCATCCAGTGCAAGCTGGGAAAAGTCAAGCACACCTGGATAGGTGAAATTCGACACCCAGGGCTTCAGATCTGCAACGAAAATGAGAAAGTAGAAAACAATAAGGCTGCTCTAGAAGCAGGGAGTTCACCTAGACATCCACTAATGGATTTCCTACAGAGTTATCTGTCAGGGGACGGCTAATTAATAATCTGTTTAAAGGGTTGCTCTTTGTTCTGATTCTCCACAGAATGTGCAAAAATATGCACAGAAACCCAGGACTGTCTCAGCAGCTACTTTCACATCCAAGATGGAGTGTCAGCATTGGTTTGGAGACAAACAGTTCAATTTTACTTCTGTTAAAACTGGGGAACCTTCTTCAGTGCCAAGTTTAAGTGCTGCTGTAAAGGGACTAGGTTGCCTGCCATCACACCTCCATAGCCTTGCCTTCTGTGCTAAGCAAAGGCAAACCACCACCCTCCAGAAAAGAAGGTAAGGTCAGCTGACTGAAACCCAAGTTAGAGTAGAAGTGATTCGAACTGAAGACCTTGCTGCTCCAATTACAGGTTTTACCTTCTCCTTCAAGTTTTAGGTTGTCTTCTAGGTTTCACGTTACCTAATATCTGGGATCCCTATCAGTTAAATCCTTTGTTAATGTAGATGATGGGGGTCATCACAGCATCCTTGTAATCGAGAGGTTGCACAAGCTTGAGACTGGCTCTATCAGCTAGCTTGGATTTGTCAATCTGGGCAATTGTCCAAAATGCAATCAGGTTAAAGGCAAAGCAATAGACTGGGCTATGCTATGCCTGTGGAGACAAAGTTCTTCCAGAAGCTACATCTATTAATGCTACATCAGTTGAGAGATCTTGGGCAGATAGTCCTGTTGTAATAAAAAATGCACCTGTTTAAAGAAAAAGTTGAATTACTACTTTTAGGGTCCTCTCAGGCATGATACAAGGGCATACACTGAATCTCAGCTTTCAGCAGTTACCAGCTTCAGCCTTGTGTGTATCACAGATCACAGAACTTCATCCTCTCACCTTACACCTTTACTGCACAAAGTAACTAGAGATAGACTTAGACATATCTTTCAGAAAGTTGTCCAGCTTTACCATGAGGACTTTTCTTGAGAATTTATTCCAACTGTTAACTACCCTGGCTGTTAAATACATGAATACCAAATGTCTGAGGGAGCAAGGCATAAATGAGGCCAAATCAGTAGATCTGTAATCTCTCTGTGACCTGTTTACAAGTAACCCTGCTTCATTCAAGGACTGGATTTTGAAGATACAGGAGGCTTAACACGAAAGGTAATATCTTCTGGCCTCATGCCAACAGGATACCAATACACAGGCCAATGACCTGATGATTCATAACAATAACGATCCTGTTCAGACCAGTTCAAAAGAGCTCTGAAAAAACACGCTCCATTGTCATTTTATATCCCCAATGATAAATTGAGAAGTCCCATGGAAGGCAGTCATGTTTGAATGTTTTGCTGTAGGCATTAGTTCCCCTTTCCACAGGCGTGAGATGATAATGCTGATGAGGAACCTCATTAAGGCCTTTGGCGTCTTGGCATGTTCTGTAGGATTACAGATGTGCAACAGTTTAAGACTTTTGGCATAGGGATATTTGCTAGACAATTTCAAGCCCCTTCTCCCTCCAGGGACGGATGAAAGTTAATCAAGGCCTTCACTTACCAAAACCTTTAGAAAACACATGTAACCATTGGACTCAATGATCTTAAATGACTTTTCCAAGCTAAAAGATTCCATGACTCTATAAAAGTCTCTATGCTTCACTCATCCTGCCTCTCTTTCCAATGCAGAACCTTGTCATGGAGCTTCTGCCTCTGCCCTAAACACCACCATGTTTCATAATAGCTCCTAAGCCCCCTCACCATGGAGGTGGACACCAACAGGCCTGGTCTCATGCTTCACCTAACTGGATAGTGCCAAGGCCTCTCCAACAATGAGACCTCCAACCTCACAATCCAAAAACCCTGTCACCAGGAGCTGAAGGCTTCCAGCCCTTCTCAGCATTCCTGTCACACTGAGCAGCCACATGCAACAGATTTAGCTCCTCTGCTCTTCAATGTAAAGGCATGAATTAAGGAATAACTCAGCCCATCTAACCTTCAAGCATCTCCACCTCCTACACTCCTCTGGGACCCTTAATGATGTACAATCACCAGAGAGGCACTGCGGTTTCACCTCCGGCATTCTCCTAACTAATGGGGCTCTGTCTTCTTTTCCTGTAGCTCTTTAGCTGCAGAGACATTTCTGAGCCAAGCAGCAGAACCAGCAACAATAACACCTTTCAGGCAGGTTAGCTGGCTGACATGTGCTGCAGATCTCCTGGCATTTCTGTTGGCTGTTGGGGGTGGGATTAGGGGATTGCTATATAATGATGATACCTTTTAAAGATGCTGCTTTTAGGCCATAATTTCTCTTGTCATTTTACCTCCTCTCCTACCAACTCTTCCCTACTAACCAGCCTACTGTTACAGTGCAGTGGCAGGAAGAATATTTCTTCATCTGCTCCCCTAAGCAAAAGCTCCTCACTTCAGAGAGGTACATTCATCAGTTCTTCTTTTTAATGGCAAGCTCTGACAAATTATAGGTAAAAATAATTTTTTAAAAATTTGAGGCAGTAGGTGGCTTGAATCTTTCCATAATGGCTGAAATGTCTATCCAGCCCAAGAAATAACACGCAGTGTCTTGATTTCTATTACTACTGCAGGTGGTACAACTTATAAAGAAACCCTTCCTGGTTATTAAATTAAAGGCTGCAAGGCATGCATCCTCATAGCAAAATTAAGCTTTTATAGGCATGTAGTTGGAGATTATTAAACCCAGCATGGTCCCAGATAAGAATGTCTAAATGTGAGGTGTTAGAATTAATGCCAAATGGCACATTTGCCTTCCCAACCTTCCTTCTTCCTGTTAAGAGGGAAGTGGATAAAGTGGAATGGAAATGCCACCAAGAGTCAGGACACGGGTCTTTTTTTCATTCAACACATTCAAATCTACTCTGATCACAAGCATCCCTAAGGACAGTTCCAGCCTTTCATTCTGAAACTAGCTCAGTTCTTCAAGGTAAGTGTTGCCCTGGGTCTATCACATATTAGCTGAAGTTTACACATATGGACCCAATGAACTCCAGAGTCTGCTTGTATTTGACCTTCCTCAGAAGGCTGATTTTTCCAGTGCTGAGTCTTTAATTTGGCTGGAAACCTTCGGTGCTGGGGCATGTTTACATTTGCAAAAGTATCTATTTAAAAACATTATGAAAAATTAAAACCCAAGGCCCTGGCTTTGCATGTCAGCAGCAGGAGCTGGAAAGCTTGGAATCACATGGCTTGGGGGCAGAATGTTCCTCAAGGCTTCCTTTGTGCTTCTCATCTCTAATCATTTCCAGGGGGTTAAAGATCCATGCTCTCACTTCCTCCACACCAGGACTAATGAACAAAAGTGCAATAGTTTCCAACACTGTCCATTGCCAGACATCTGATTCAGAGCCTCTAAAGCTCTGCAAGTCCCTTTGCAGCTCAAGGTGGTTCAGGTATCCAGCTGCAAAGAAGACAAAGCTTTGCAGGAAACCTAAGTCTGCAGGCATAGCTGTGCTCGGGCTAGTATGCATGCCTAAGACAAGGTGAAAAGATGCCCTCTGCCAGTTCAGAGGGTTGTCCCTGCAGCCCACTAGCACGCTGCTCTGCGCCGGCTTCCTGAGAGGACAGGACTGGGGCAAGGACTAGTCAGCTGTGCAGAGGAGGGCGTGCCAATTTTCAGGAGCTGGGTTTTAGGTCCTGATCCAGAGGGTCTTCAAATCATTGGTGGTTTTCCACTGAGCTTGATGGGGTTTAGATCAGCTTCTAAAAATGTGGTAAGCCTGGTAATACTTGAGCCTTCATCACCTCAAAGCCAGCTGCTCCCCACCTCATGCTTACACTGTGTATTTTGGAGGAAAGAAGTATGTAAACACTGAGTTGAGACTTCCCTGCCTGAGGACAGCATTTACTGCTTCATCTCACTTGAGCCCACTTGCAGCTTCGTTCTCCAGCAGGCTGTAACAGCTTTGGGCATCTGGCACACACCACACGAGAGCAGAGAGGTTAAACATCCACACCTCCAAATTGCCCAGCCTTTGCTAGGTGCACGGAGCTTGGCTAACCTCTGTGGTACTCAAGAATATCTCTTCCAGAGTAATTCTCAGCAAGGATTTCCTAGTCTAGAGCAAAAGAAATTAAACTAAACATGACCAAGGATTTGTTGTGCAAAATAAGGGTATACCCGCATATACAGACTAACCATGCCCTATCCAACCTTGCTCCTACCCTAGGGCTGCACAGGAAAGCTTCAAAGATATCATAAAAAGACCAAAAGTGAGGAATTTGGCAAAGCTGAGCAAGAAAGAAAATGCAGGGGGATCCCATTCCAGAAAAGACAACCCGACACATGTTACACAAAGCCCCTGTAAAATAAGCTGATTCAACAGTAAGAGCTCGTGCAAAGAAATAGAGCACACATAGCACTTGGGGCCTGCCAAACTCAAAGGGAATAAATAAATACCTGTTCTCAGATATTCATACCTTCTTTGTGCAGAGTTAACTTGACCACACATTGAGTGCTTCCCTTACTGCCTCAGTACGGTCTCTTTATAAGTTCTCTCAACTCAGCTTGTTACTTTATGATGTTTAATTACTCTGTGTCAGTATTTCAGCATTCCTGGTGAGGACCACACAACAGCTATGACTTCTGTAACTGTACAATCTCTAACCCTAACCCTAACCCTCCCCTTTTAGTTTGCTTCAGCCCTGACACAGGGAAACCATGTAGAGTGACTGCAGTTTGCAAGTACTCAACCACTTAGATCTTTTTCAGACCACCGACTACCCTGGAGGACTCTCAGTGTTGAATCCCAGCCATGACCAACAGATGTAAATCACTTTGTTTAACAAGGTATGGTCTCAGGCCATCTTCTTGGTACAGACTCATGAAATGTCCCCTTTTCAGAATCAGACGTACCATCTCTAATCATCCTCTGCTTCAGTTATCTTCAGTATTCAGAGCATTTTTCACAAAGT